TGTACATTAATGAGGAAAAAAAATTAACTTAAATGATTTTAGCAAATGGCTGCAATATAACAAAGAGTGAAAAATTTAAAGGGGTCTGAATACTTTCCGTACCCACTGTATGTCTAGATGATTTGGATCTGTGAAATGTTTGCCTCCATCATTCAGATCTCTTTTCTGACTTTTCTGACTTGCTCATCAGCTCAGAAATTGCAAGGTCTGTTTTCTCATGGCTGAGAAGTCGCGGAAGACACCATGCGGAAATTAGTCAATGTCAGTCACTTTGTTATACTCTCATATCTTTATGCGCTGTGAGACAGTTGAGATTAAGTTATAAAACAGACTGAAGGAAATCTTCTATTACTGCAGATCTGTACTGTCATTAAAATCAAAGCCATTTTATTTAGTTCACTGATTTAAGATGTTGCGTAACAAACTTGTCTCGGTGGTTGTTAATTTATGACGTGCTCATTTTGAATTTATACGGTATAATGGTTATTTCTTGTACCTTATTACTGGCAAGCCAGTGGGGACAAAATGGATAGAGCCCACTCTGCATTCATGTTTAATAGCTTTTTATTTGAATAGCTCTGAGATAGATTTACTAGAAGGAATTTATTAAGACATGCATTATTACTATTGCTAATACTTAGGGACTAGGAGTTGAACAAACCCCTAATGACAAGTACTAAACGTGGCCGTGTAGCTGTTGGGCTTTTTTTACTTGACCACACAGTCACCTTAGCAACCACACAAATCCCCATAGCAACTATAAAGCAATGGGCTTGGCAACACTCAGGACAGAAAAGCAACAGAAAATCACCCCAGCAACCATAAAGCAACCACACAGATCAACCAAGTAACATTACATATTTTTTATTATATATTATTTTTATTTATTGGTCAATTTGAATAGGTACAGATACAATATACAAAGACAAAAATGCAACAAAATTATATTTTCAACTACCCAGAATTACCTAGCAACTTCTCAAGTCATACTAGGAATTATATAGCAATGAGTTTGACAGACCCTAGCAACTATCTAGAACAGAACACCCTAGTAACACAAATCAGCCTAGCAACCATATAGCAATGAGCTTAGCAACACTTTAGCAACTACCCAGAACAGTGCAACAACAACAAATTACCGTAGCAACCATATAACGATGCCCTAACAACACAAATCACCCTAGCAACATTATAACAACAAGCTTGGCAACTATCCAAAATGCCCTAGCAACTACACAAATAACCCTAACAGCTACTGTATATAGCAATGAGCTTGATTGTATCCTAGCAACTATCCAGAGCAGAACTCACTAGCAACCTCACAAATAAGCCCAGTATTGATATAGCAACAACAAATTGCCCTAGCGACCAGAGCAATGCTCAAGCAACTACCTATAACACCTTAGCAACCACACAAATCCCTTTAGCAATAATAAAGCAACAAGTTTGTCAACACCCAAGCAACTACCCAGAACACCCTAGCAACCACACAAATCACAGTAGTTACCATACAACAACGTACTTGACAACACTCTAGCAACAGCTTATCATCAATAAGTCACCCTAGCAACCATATAACAAGAAGTTTGTCAGCTGAATTCCCATAACTTGCCCAGAATTCCATAGCAACTATTCAGAACACCCTAGGAACCATATAGGAACAAGCTTGGAATGCCCTGGCAACTGCTCAAATCAACGATAAAGCAAATAGGCAGTAGCCTAGCCATCACCCAGAACATCCTAACAACCACACAACAAAATTTAAAAAAAAAATGAAATTTTGACCGCTGTGCTTCAATCTTCTGAGACTTGACATTAGGTGTTTTATCTTCATGGAAGTTTGGGTCACTGTGAATTTTGTAAACTAAATTTTGCCCTTTTGCCTGAATGGCTTTTAAAAAGTTTAGCTTGTGTGTGTTTGGCGGAGGAGCGTTTGTAGCATGTGAGTTGTAGCAGAGCATCTAACCTCCTTTTGTCAAAGACGGCGAGGGGATATAAACTATAGAAGAGTCTCTTGTATTCCCAAATGGAGTGCAGCAGTAGCACACCACAGGAGCTGTACAGGCCTGTGAGGATGAAGGGTTTGTGGGCTACGGAGGACTATGGCCATGCTTCCCATAATCCTGTTATCTGTCTCTGTTAAGCTTACCTCTTCTGACCCGAAGTTAACACACCAGTGTTAAGCTGCCTCTGTCTCCTCTCCATTCGTTTTTATATATATATAAAAAAATCTTTTTCACCCTCTTTTGCTCCGGTTTTTAGTTTTTCAGTGAGTAAGAAAAAGTCAGATGGTGGTCTTCGTCCTAGTTTTTTTTTTTTTTTCAGATGGTGGTTTTCGTCCTAGTTTTTTTTTTTTTTTTTTCAGTCTAAAGTCACTGTCAGAAAATAGAAAATCCTTCTAGTCATCACCATCTTGTCTTCATTCATGAGAACTGCACATTGTCTCCCCCTTGTATATACTTTAAAAGACTCCTTACAAAAAATACTGTGGTGACCAGTTTCTGCCAAAATGGTGTAGTTACTACAGTTCCTGTCAAGGGTGTCATGCACTTATTTTTTGAAGAGGAACAAGTGGCAATTCTGGCTTTCTTGGTGCCCCAGGCAAGAAAAGACATGACCAAAGAAAAAAACGATTTAATAGTTATTTTTGTGCAATGGGAGTTCGAATCAAAATTATATAATATAATTATACATATCTGACCATTTAGATGTATCTTGCTGTGTTTGTTTGTTTATTATTATTATTATTAAATTTTTTGGTGAGGTAGTTGCATTCAAAATCCATTTGTCTCAAAAAACTGCAGATTGATTAATGTAAGATCTCCTTTGGTGTGAAATGCTTCAAAATGTATTTATTTATTTATATTTATTTAATTGTTACCACATTTTTACTGTGTACAAATGTATATATTTTATATTGTATGTTATATTGTTTCTAATGTATATTTTTGCATGCAAGTTAAGTGGTTTGTCGTTGAAAGAGTCGGATTGTTTTAATGAAATTCTGTGATCATTTATTAACAAGACAATGGGGTGTAAACAGGGCCAATATTCGCTCAGCCTGAGACATATGTTGAAAGCAAACACACAAATGGCAAGCTCAGTTCTTGGCTGAGATGCAGCAGCGGCGGGCCAGGACTGACATGTTTCTGCTCATCATTTCGAGCTGGCCTTGTTAATATACGTAGGGGGGATAGGCTGGTCTGTGTCTCCATTGGTATGCATGCTCTTAGATGTTCATAATGGGATCATTGGCATGCTCTTCTGTGTCTCCCATTACTAGGCAGTTAGAAAGGTCAGAATCAGGATCAAAGTCCATAAGCAGCAATTTGCAATGCTAATTTCCTCCCATAGAGTGATTGTATTTAAAAAAAGAACGTAAAATGAGATTATTGTAGCCTAAATAAAGTGTCTTTTGTCGTGAAAGAGAGATTCTATTCCTCTTCAGTTGGAGTGCGCTTAGCCATTGACTGACATACAACCTAATGGCATGAGATAAACCTTGACCTCAAACCTATTCAGTTCTCTTAAAATTCAACTCAATGGCTGGGCTGAAGAACCACGAAAGACGTCAACGTTTCTATCTTTGCTGTGCTAATGGAGAAAGACTGTAGCTTGACTTTCCGACTCTGATAGTAAAAATGTTTTAAACTGCTTTCATTATCTCCTATGAAACCACTTGTGGTCTTTAAAAAGAACTAGAGACCAAGTTCATGTCTAGATTTTTTTTTGTTTTAGCATAGTTGGTTATGTTAAGATTGGCCTAATTCTAAGGCAGACATAATGCATTGTGACAAGCTCAACATGAGTCAAATTTGATTAAAGTTTGATCATAATGACAGACAGACAGACAGATAGATAGATAGACAGATAGATAGATAGATAGATAGATAGATAGATAGATAGATAGATAGATAGATAGATAGATAGATAGATAGATAGATAGATAGATAAAGTACAAACAAACAAACAAAAATACAAACAAAAAACAATATTTATTTATTTTTCCCCCTTAAGTTAAAAATTGTCTCCCTGTAAGAAATCTCCCAAAAGACAGTGGGAAGCTCACTTGCTTTTGAAACTGTAGTTAAGCAGATAATACAGTACTTGTACAGCAGGTATTGCAAATGAATAATTAACAGGTTCTATGCTGTTTTAATTTAAACTGGGCTTGCCGATACTTGGTGAGTGCAGAAAATTGAATCATCCATGTGCAGATAAAAATCACTGAGATTCTCCATCTTAATTAGAGGCACTCTCAAACACAATTCATGTGCATCCACATTCACACAGAAAATAATCAAACATATGGTAATAACCGGACCCCCCATCTCTTTCCTCCATTTGTTGTCTGTTCGTTCAAGTAGTTTTGTTTTATACACACTCGCTTCTCAGGAATGCTTCACCTGTTTCGTTTTTCTTTAGTTCTTACCTTTGTGCTGTTGTTTCGTTAGTAAGTTCGAATGTTATGAAAGATTGCCGTCCTGATTGGGAAGGTCTGCCAGTCCTATAACCTTGGTGTCCAATTCATCATGTTGTTTGAGCTGTAGTTTCTCTGTGCAAGCTGAGGTCTTTGATGGGAGTCTTTCGGCTTTCAGAGACCTCTGCTCTGCGCACTCCTTTAGCATGAAAGATGTGCCCTGAAAAATAATTGATAGATCAGCCAGGATGTGCGTGGATATTATTACCTAATTCCAGATGGCCGTTCTGATGGCAACAAATGGCCTTGCCGTACCAACCCCACTGAGACGAAAACATTAGACGTGCGAGTACAAATTTCTCCTGGCACAGCCGCAGAAATGAAATTAAGTGGATCTTTGATGCCTGAACAATGAGCACTTGACGAATAGCTCAGCTCGAACCTTCATTACCGCAGCACCCTTGGATTTGGAGTGCATTCGCCAGAGTTGCCGTGACCTTGGCGTGACATTAAAGGAGCGTAGAGGGAACAGAACCGGGCCATGGCCTGACTGACTGTGCTGTGCCATGTTGCTCCACAGGAGGTGATGCAGATGGAAAGACAGCTGGGAGGTCGACTGATTGACGAGCCTCACATCCTGCTCTTCAAAGACAGCTACCACAACCTGCGCCTCTCGATTCATGACATGCCCCAGGCATACTGGAGGAGCAAACTACTCACCGGCTATCAGGTGGGTTTCTATAAAACACCTTCTCTTTCTTGCAGCACGTCTTGAATTTAATGGTGTTTGCTACAGTGAGCGGCTCTATTGCTATCACTCATACATGGAGTAAGTGGTTTTTCATAACCTCAAATATTAAATGTATTAAACATTAAATTTAAGAAAAAAGCCTGGAAGCCTGCATATTTGCAAAAGGTACATATTAGTACCTAAAAGGGCTTAAAATAGCTAAAGGTGGAGTAGGCAGTTTCTGTGCTACTAGTGTCGCCTGGCAGAACTACAAAAATAAACCACATTTTCAGACAAACTTTGCAAACATCCCTTTCGCGCATCACGCCTCCCCTAACTCAAACATCACAAACACAGCTCTTGCGAGTCTATAAAAGTAAAGCCATGTCTAAACAGCTAAAAGTAGACAATTAGGCTTCTATTTTCAATGAAAGGTCCATCATACAATACTTTTAACTTGAAGTTTAGCTTACCTGTCGAGAATAAACTCAAGGTCATCATATCAATTGAAACCTAAACATTCCATCAGACCAAATGTAATGATTGAATGCAATGATAGGACAGACATTTTATGGCAATATTATTGATTGCAATCAGGCCTTTCAACCAGTATAACAAAAATATTTCTGGAAAAAAAATTACCTACCGTATCTTTAACCTTGGGTCATTCTAAACCCAGGGAAAGCTGAGTCCAGGGTTATCATGTTTAATGTTACACATTGCTCATAATTTACCCAGGGTAAAAAATTGATCTGGTAAACGAGTTTTCTGTCACGAATTAGACAATTTTTGCCTCATGACTGTTTATGTGTTTCTGTGACTGTCTAAATGCGATTGGCTGTCTGTTGCTAAGCATCTAGTCATGGCATTCTAACACCGCATCTTTTCACACTGTACATGTTTGGCACCGCAATGCAGGGTTAACAGCACAAATACAGTGCTAAGCCTTCTCTGGATGGTAAATTATAGTACCTTTTGAAAGAGTACCCAATGACAGCTTTTTTTATGCGTACCTTTTTTTCTGAGAGTGTATGCTTATAAATTGCATTCATATTTTGAGAAGCAATCGCTCAAAGTCCTAACAACCACATGACTATCTGCTAACATCCATGCAGAACAATTTAGCAACCACATAGCGACACCCTAGCAACCGCCCAAACTGTTCTGACATTGTGACAAGAAGTCATGGGTAAAGTAGCAAAAAGTTTTCCATCTGTTTGAAATTCTTTACTTCTGTAACATGCACTGGTAATATTATGTTTGTCTTTTTGATCTTTGTTGTCAAAGTCTTTTCGAAGCATAATTAAACGAGTTAGAGTTATTTTTTCATGGGGGTAAATTTGAAGTGCTGTGCTCTGAGCTTTCTAACAGCACTCTTAAAAATAAAGGTGCTTCATGATGTCATAGAAGAACCTTTTTGTCTAATTGGTTCCATAAAGAACCTTTAACATCTGAAGAACCTTTCTGTTTCACAAAAGCTTCTTTGTGGTGAAAGAAGGTTCTTTAGATTATAAAAAGGCAAGAAAGAGATGGTTCTTTAAAGAACCTTTGACTAAATTGTTCTTTGTAGAACCAAAAATGGCTCTTCTATGGCATCGCTGTGAAGAACCTTTTAAAGGCCTTTATTTTTAAGAGTGAGGGTGTGTGATCTGATATGTCCTCCGGATTGCTGTAATTGGAAATTTATTTGGTTTCGCCTCATTAGAGTACTTCTGAACGTGCAGGGATGCTAAAGAATCCCATTATAGAGTGAATTTGGCGAGCAGGGACCCTAGAACGTCTGCTCTTAATAACATAACCTTGGCTACGAGTTAACGGCTTCTTGGGTAAAGAAGGATTGAGAGCGCTTCAGTTTTCTCATGTCTTCCTCACCCGCTCTGCCCATCTCAGGACTCTTTCCCACTGGAGGAGATTAAATATAGACCAGTATGTAAATGATCAAGGCTGCAACACCTGATTTTTCTCGTATTTCCCTTCCTGGATCATATATGCTGGGCCTCAGAGGAACGTCTCTGGATTCTGGAGGATTCTTGGCGTAAAAAGCTCCTCCGAGGATTTGGAGATGCCAGCTCACAGTGTTACAGCACAAATGTGCATAGAGGAAACATTTTCTCACCTGAACGTCCCCTATTTTTTTAGATAAGTATGTTGCTTGGCTTGGTTTTCCTGCAGACTTTTCAGTCTGTGCAACAGCTCCCCCATTGGAGTAAACTGAGGTACTGCATATTCACTAATAATGCTGCCTTTTATTGATTTGCAGTTTGATTGGCTCATGATTGATGTGTAGTCTTAAATAGTGTGCGCTTATCTTAGTTTTTTGTGTCACTCTTCACAATTAATTAGATATTATGAGACGAGAGCATGTTATAAAGCTAAATAATTAGTCTAATCAAACTGTCTGAACGTGTTGTATTTGACAGACTAAATGTATTGTTTTAATACGTGTTCTTATTTTATTTGACTGTGGATATGCAGGCATATCTTCTCTATCTACTGAATTGTGCTCGTTCATAAATTAAATCCAAATCCCCGGTTGTGAGCAATTAGCTTTTAAGGATGTTCTACTGTTGTCAGAGACAAAGAAACTATTTTGCTGCTTTGTTTGAAAATGTTGCCAACAATAGATTGAGCAGAGCTTTCATAAACTCGCACCGGTAGCCACAGCATCATAAATCATCAGGTGTTGGTCTTTTTCTTTGTCTGTGTCTCTTACTGGCCGTCAAATTCAGCTGGATCTATTGTTTGCAAGCAGAGAACTTTTAATGCAAAGGAAGCTGTGTATTATCTACCAAGTGACAGAATTGTTCTCTCAAGTTTATGTCAGATGCAAAGTTTGCCAAAGGTTGCTAAAATTAGGAATATTTTGCATAATTCTTGTGTTGCAAAAATTTAACTGCATCCTCCTGTGGCACTGAATTGTAGCAGTGCATATTAAGCTATTCACTTAACTCTATATCTGTACATTTTGCATTGACTCTGTTGATTTTGAGGGAAAATAAATCATAAATAAAATTAATTATGGGAAATAAATTATAGTGTAAAAGTGTATTGTACTGTTACAGCCTAAAAATTTCAATTTAAGCTAATTCATGATACTATTACTGTTAGATTATATTGCTGATTTATATAACTTATGTTTTTGAAACAATTAGTACTGACAAGGCTGTACTGAGTAGATTTCAGAACTGATGTTATGAATTTTCTCACCTGAACGTCCCCTATTTTTTTAGATAAGTATGTTGCTTGGCTTGGTTTTCCTGCAGACTTTTCAGTCTGTGCAACAGCTCCCCCATTGGAGTAAACTGAGGTACTGCATATTCACTAATAATGCTGCCTTTTATTGATTTGCAGTTTGATTGGCTCATGATTGATGTGTAGTCTTAAATAGTGTGCGCTTATCTTAGTTTTTTGTGTCACTCTTCACAATTAATTAGATATTATGAGACGAGAGCATGTTATAAAGCTAAATAATTAGTCTAATCAAACTGTCTGAACGTGTTGTATTTGACAGACTAAATGTATTGTTTTAATACGTGTTCTTATTTTATTTGACTGTGGATATGCAGGCATATCTTCTCTATCTACTGAATTGTGCTCGTTCATAAATTAAATCCAAATCCCCGGTTGTGAGCAATTAGCTTTTAAGGATGTTCTACTGTTGTCAGAGACAAAGAAACTATTTTGCTGCTTTGTTTGAAAATGTTGCCAACAATAGATTGAGCAGAGCTTTCATAAACTCGCACCGGTAGCCACAGCATCATAAATCATCAGGTGTTGGTCTTTTTCTTTGTCTGTGTCTCTTACTGGCCGTCAAATTCAGCTGGATCTATTGTTTGCAAGCAGAGAACTTTTAATGCAAAGGAAGCTGTGTATTATCTACCAAGTGACAGAATTGTTCTCTCAAGTTTATGTCAGATGCAAAGTTTGCCAAAGGTTGCTAAAATTAGGAATATTTTGCATAATTCTTGTGTTGCAAAAATTTAACTGCATCCTCCTGTGGCACTGAATTGTAGCAGTGCATATTAAGCTATTCACTTAACTCTATATCTGTACATTTTGCATTGACTCTGTTGATTTTGAGGGAAAATAAATCATAAATAAAATTAATTATGGGAAATAAATTATAGTGTAAAAGTGTATTGTACTCTAAAATACACTGTTACAGCCTAAAAATTTCAATTTAAGCTAATTCATGATACTATTACTGTTAGATTATATTGTTGATTTATATAACTTATGTTTTTGAAACAATTAGTACTGACAAGGCTGTACTGAGTAGATTTCAGAACTGATGTTATGAACAGTAACAATTCAGTGTGACATGTCTTTGGTCCTTTAGGAGATCCCGTTCTATCACATCTGGAGCGGCTCTCAGCGGACCCTGCACTGCACCTTCACACTGGAGAGACAGAGCCTGAGCACCTGTGATCTCACCTGCACGCTGTGTGTGTGGCAGGTAGAAGGAGAGGGACAACGCTTCACCCTGGACTTCAACATCTCAAAGGTAACTGAGACCACCTGCAGTATGATATACCAGTAAACAGTAGAGATTGTAGTATTAAAGCTGCTTTACGAGATGTATTGTGATTTCAAATTGGATTTACACTAAGAATTGGTATTGAATTTAGAATTTAAATTAATTGACATTGTATTGTGTGCACACCGTAGATTATTTTTTGACATTCTCCAAACCCTAGCTCAGTTTATTTGGATTTAGAACAGAATTTAAATAGAATTAATTTAAAGTAAAATGTATAAATTGTAACTAAATTGAATGGACTTGCTACTGTGGTCTGCACATATGTGCATATATTAATTTTGTATTAGAATTTGGAATTTTAATGTGAACTGAATTGAAACTACATTTAAATATTTCTCAAAAACCTTTTGAATGTCAGATTCTATTTAACTATTTTCCAAACTGATTCTCATGCAAAATATTTGATTTTGAATTTGATTTATAATGAGAATTGGAATTGAATTTGGAATTAAAATTTAATTTAAATGTAAATTAGTTGACACTGCATTCTGCACACACAGAAGTTTATTTTATTTTTTTTAACATTCTCCAAAACCCAGCTCAGCTCATTTGAATTTGGAATATAATTTTTTTTTTGTTATTATTATTAAAATTTAGAACATTTAAAGAAATTTAATAGACTTGGAAGTTGGAACTGGGGTCTGTTCATGCAGTACAGACTATTTTTGAATTATAAACAGAATTTGAAATTAAGTGTGAACTGAATTGAATTGAATTGAACTATAGTCTATTCCTGCTTTTTTAAACCATTTCTCAAAATGTTTTGAATTCATTTAAATTCAATACCCGCATTCTATTCAATTATTTTCCAAACTTATTCTCATGCAAACGTAGACCTTCTCCATAGATCTTCAGATCTCTGTACAGTTGGAATGAGTAACACATTGAAATGTTCTTGACTCTAGGACATCAGACCACTGGACTCTGATTTCCTGTTAATGGACAACTGCACCCCTGCCCTGGCTGGTCCGAGCGCATTCCAGATCCCTTACCTCATCCGACAGAAGATCTGCAGCAGTCTGGACACCCCCTGTCCCAATGGAGCAGACTGGAGACTACTGGCCCAGAGACTGAAGCTTGACAGGTAGGATCTGTCAGTGTTAGAAGGTATTAGGTCGGGAATGGATCCTGTTTAACAAAATCTGAGGATTCTTGTTGCGGCTTTTGGAAACTGTTTTTTGCAGAGTGCCCATATCTAGAGCAGATTGTGTGGTTCTGTACTTGCATATTAAATACAGACTTCCACAGGAAATTGCGAGGCAGTAATTTAATTACAGTCCAATTGAACTTCCTCCAGGTAATGGAACATAATGGGCAGACTTCATTTGTCCAATAATGTTTACTTGCTACAATTAATTACAATTTGAAGTGTTGTGGTGTGTGTTCAATTAGCACACTAGCCCAAAACGATCAATTTTCATTTACTTAGTTAAGGAAAAGCACAGAATCCACACAGGTGGAAATGTTCTTAATGGTTTTTTACTCGAAAGCAGCGCTACTAGTGAATACAACCCTGACTGTAAACCTTTTCTCACTGAGAACAGAGAGCATGTAGAAAACAACACTTAAAGCCACAGGCATTTGAGGTACAGAAAAAGGCTGTTAGATCGAACCCACTCCAGCTTCCTTCGGGAGATGCATCTTGCAACATCTAATACGCTGCAAAAAGGGGTTGCTTTGTTCTTATTGATCAGGTTTGATCCAAAAGGTTCAGCCTGGTCAATGAAAAAGGTCACATGCAACCTGGGTTTTACCCTTTTAGAAAACTGAGACCCACAGTAGATAATTCATCAAATGAAAATGCAGGGCTGCTTTAGTTGAGGAGTTAACAAAAGGGTGTAAAGCATGTATTCTGAAGATCTGAGCGTGCGTTTGTTGGTTTAGTATAACTATGCAGCTAATGTGTCTCGCTGGACCTGCATGCATAGATTTTCTACTCTCCCTTTGAATGGAATGACAGTGAGGCTGATATATTGGTTTACAATGCAAGATAAGCTTCTTGGTGTTTTATTTTATTTTAGGGAATAATGACTTACGACTCCTGCAATCCTGATTTACTTTTTACAAAGAAACAAACCATGCATTGAGAAGCAAATTCGTTGCATTTAAAATATAGTTTTTATTATATATGGTTATAAAGGAAAAACAGAAGGTTGTGTGCGATTTACAAAGCCTGTTATTTGATTTTATTAAACTGGTGAGTTTAATTTGTATATTCAATTTAGGACAACAAATGCTATCATGCTTAAAGTTTTACTTTACAGTTTATATAATGTATCATTAACAATTTACAGTATAGTTTAATTTTATTAACGTAAAAACATTAGTTAAATACAATGGTTAACATGAACTAACAATCAGGGTCCCCAAAAATGCTTTTCATATACGATATGCGCATCAAGCGCGGACACGCAAACGATTGCTGTTTACGGTGTTTATTACCACGACAATCTGTCAACCTGTTTCTACTTAAGACACTGTGCATCAATAATTATTTTTATCATTTATAATGCGTTGAACGTGTTTCTTGTGTATCCTGGTTTAAGGAAATGAAAATATCATGCATCTGAAGACTGAAGCTGTAATTAATATTGAGCAACTGTGCGTATTATGTATATTGTTTTAAATGCCGCTTACTCATTTATGAGAAGGACCTTACTTTTTTGGTTGATATAATCCTTAGGTGTGTAAAAATATATAATTTCATTTTCATTTTTTTTTTTAAGTTTGATTTAAATTTGTAGTTAAAATAAATGTATTTTAAAGTTTAGAATTAGACAGCCTTTGGAGAGTGTATGAGCCCAGGCACACAGGCTTACGCTGGTAACTCATCACTTTCCTCATCAATATAGGTTATATTTTTTCCACACTTTTCTCATTCTCTCTTAATTCAAGTTTTTATATGAATGAATCTCTGAAGGGAAGCGTCTGTCTTCAGAAAAGTTTCGATGGCATTTTCATTTTATCTGATAAAGTAGCGTTTATGAGCGCAGCGCTGCTTTGGGGAAATCGCTATATTTCTGACGTTCCAAAAGCGCCTCCTGCTGGCAGACATTGAATTTGCATTTTCAATCAGCCCGTCTGCAGTTTTTGTTCAGACCAATGCGAAAATCCACCCATTTAACCCCGTTTTAATTAACTTTCAATTTATATTTCTGACTCGTCACTTTTCTTAAAAAAAATGGTTTAAATGCTCAATTGTGAGGTTTATCGTTTTATAGTTTATTTTGTTTTTGTGAAAACCTGTATCTTAACTGTAAATCAATTGCTATTTCGTGGTATACAACATGAAAGAAAGCCATTATAACATGTACATGAAAAATGTAGAAACATTGGACACAACTATGGGGCACCATTTTACAGCAGCAAGCATCACAACAAAAAAGGAACCTCACGGTTGATCCCAGTAAATGTGTGCAAGTGTCCTATATTTTGCCTGGGGCCCCCAATTCACTAAATCTGCCCCTGCTAACAATGAACAATACCTCTAAAGCATTTATTAATCTTGGCTAATGTTAATAAAACATTTTGTAATACATTTTTAAGTTCAAAAGTTGTATCTGTTAACATTAGTTAATGACCTGTGAACTAACATGAATATTAACAAAAGTTAATAAAGGCTGCAAAAATATATTGCTCATTGTTAGTTCATGTTACTTATCGCAACTATTGTTAACAAATTAGACGTTTTTGTAAAGTGTTATCAATATATTGATATATGTTTTGATCCACTGCAACAAGTCCCCCCCCCCCAATTATTGTGTAATCTCAAATCACAAATGTAAACTAAACTAAAAAGTGTATGAAGGAAAACTAAATGTAAGACTTAAGACACTGTTTTTAACAGTTTTGCAATATAATAATATGCATATGTTATGATGCTCACGAGTCAGACATAAACTGCAACATACAATGTTTATACAATATAAGACTTGCTCTGTATCCAGACTGCAGTAGTATACTGACAATTTCCTTCCCTCTGTTTTCCTCTCCAGGCACATGAGTTTCTTCGCATCCAAAGCGAGCCCCACATCAGTGATTCTGGACTTATGGGAAACCCAGCACTTCCACAGCGGTAATCTCAATCAGCTTGCCGCTGTGATGGCTGAGATTGGCAAGCAGGAGGCCATGATATTCCTGGTGTCAGACGGGGAGTGCTGACACATTAAAACTGAACCGCCGGCCATCTCTGAGTGATGGGGTGGGGGAAGGACGTGACCCTCTGCCCGCCCCACCATAGATGAGAAACAAATCAAAGAACAGGGTTTACCCAACTATATGAGGCCACTTCCCCAGTGAATAGGGAATAAAATAAAAAGAAAAAAGGAAGAAAAAAAAAACAAGACCAGGCTCAGGAGGAACCTGGGAGGGCTTTAAGATGTACTGTGACTGAGACAAATGCCCCTTTCTTAGAACAAAAATCCATTTGTTTTGAAAATAATGGTGTATAGAAAATCCTAGATTCTATGATTCTGGTCCTGCCCTCAATCACTGACCAATATGAACTTTCTAACCACATTTGTGTTAGGTACATTGATATATTATTATCAGACTGGAAACTAAAACGAATGGGTTTGAAAGATATCAAGTGGAAAATGTATGCTATGTAGGTGAGGTGAACATTTTGCGAACTAATTCAGATTTGCGACATGCATTTTGTAAATGTGTACCATTTGGCAATATGCAAACACACATATCGATGACAATTTCCTTTGGCCGACACGTTTCTTACCTCACAAAGCATTTCAAATTGTAGAGCGTTTGCTAAATTTCAGGTCGAAAACGTTAAGTAAAGCGTTTTTGACCAGAGCCGTCACTTGTTCCTCTGTCCCTGTGCACTTAACGTGTGTTTTCGAACTCATGAAGCCATAAAGTCCTAAATTCACCTCAATGCAGTGATATATGTTCTGATCCGGGTGGATAATCAGTAAATAAGCACAGGATTCTGTGGATGTTTAGCTGCTGAAGGATGGGTGATCAGGGACCTCAAACATGTTCCTAGCTGTTTTGCAGAACATTACGTCTTGTTTTTGCTTTCAACAGAGTTTTGAGAATAGGGGTCAGATGTTCTGCAAAGCATTTTTCCATGGCCATCTTATGTCAACGAAACCCTGTCAAGACCATAATTCTCATCTGAATTTAATTTTGATTAAGTCCATAGAATTCTTCGTTTATAAAGGAGAAAAATAAAAAGTTCCCCGTTGGAAAGGTTTTCTTCTTTTATAAACAGAAAATGCAATATTACCAAATGTTTCATTGCTATTCTCCTATCTAGTCTATGTTTCTCTGAAAGCCATTTTGGCTTCAGGGCAATTTCTTATTCGTAGAGAAAGAATATTTTCATCACCCCCCAAAAAGCAAATGTTCCATCCAAGAAAACTTCACTGAGACTCAGCAGCTGTCGTATTTTTCTAAATTCCTCCATCACACGTGTGCTTTGTTTCTGCACACCCTGTAGAACAGCAACACGACTCAGCCCTGCGTTTGGCGCCATGAATGTACATTACACGGTTTGAAGATTGTCCGATTATTTTTTCGTGTGTGTTTGAATGTGAGCGTATTTCATTCCAAATGAAGGATGATTTGTGAGAAACTGTGGATCACAAATTGGCCGCTTTCATCTCGACCAGTAAAGACGGCCACGTCTGGAGATGATTGGAGGAGTCCGGCATGTTTCCTCCGCAGCAAGTGGAAATACACAGGCCTGTTTCACTCAGCTAACGGAGAACTCAAGTTAAAGGCCAAAATGTGCACTTTTTTTTTTTTCCTTTTCTCTTCAAACTTCTTGTACTGTGTTTCCATAAAGTTTCACTTGGTGATTTCTGTTAAACAACTAACCAGACAGCTATTTTAGTTTCTTTGTTTTTAATCTACAGAAGTCATGTTTTGTAGATAAGTACTTTTCATATGACGCATCTCTGCGCAACCAAAGTGTATGAGCCATCTGGAGCATTTCTTTCATATCTATGCCGATTGTGATTTATTTATTCTTTTTTAGTATAAGGAACATGTTCCTAAATTGAACATGCATCTATTTTTATTTCAAGATCTCATGACTTGTGCAAGCTTGTTAATTTTGAGCATTTCACTGGTAAAACAATTTATTTAATACAGCACTTTGTAAAGTAATTGTAAATGATATTTTAATAACAAGCCAAAAAAAGACTAGACAACTGACGTAACATTTGTCGAAGTATAACCCGTGAAGTGTTTGCCTACTGTTCATTGGTTATATAGCACTGAGTTAATTCGTTCTGCAGTGTTTGCGGTTTCGACTGTTTTTGCCATAAGTTTGTACACCATCGTTTTGTTTCGTCCTGAGGCTGTTGGTTTGTGGGTAATCAATCCTCAACACTACGTCATGAGAAAACAGATGCAGCAGTAAATCATTCCTCTGTCAGAGTATTTAGACAAGGAGTTGGTGCAAAATTGTCAAATTCCTAACACTCAGGTTTACAAACAGTTCAGTTGAAACAGACATGTTACGCATTTCTAAACATTACTGAGCGTGCAACAAAATGAATTTCTCATCAACGTTGTTCTTTTTCACTGACATAAAAATCATTCCAACAGCCTTTCGTTCTAATCTCACAAAGTCAGCTTGTAACACAGAATAAAGCAGATGCCATGCTATTCACCAAAAGAACCACTGATCTCTCTTTATGACTGTACATTTTGTCAGCCTCATTCATAACTGTTCTGTGTAAATGAACGTGTGAGTGTGCTATTTCTTTCTTTTTGAACTGAAAACCGTAGAATTGTGTACCTGTGAATGTTCAATTCGATTTCTTAATTCAATGTTCCTTGCCTTTCTGCAAGTCAAAATGCTGTATTTATTACATGCCACAGCGCTTATGCAATTGTACAATTCTTTTCTATTGTTATTGGTAAAGTTTTTTTTATTTTTTTTTTCATTTTTCTCGTCAATGTAAAATGTCGTTGATGATTTTGTGGAAACAGGAAGCCCTTTTCTGCAGAAGGTTTTCTGTACTTTTTGGACAATGATATGGATTTGTGGGTAGAATTTTGGAAATTCGTTTCTAAGTGCTTTCAAGTATTTACTTGGCCTTATGTATATATCTCTCTATGAAATTTCAGAAAAGGTATGTATAGTAATTGAACCTAAAATGGATGTAAATAAATTATATATTGTTAAAAGAGAGTTGAGTGATTTGTGCTCACACCATCCACTGTATTTCACTACACATTTTACATTTGTATCCAGTCAGTAGTCTTGAGAATAATCATGATTTATTCTTTCGGATACATGAAGAAAACCCCATTTCACAGCCATTCGTATGATTCAGTAAGTCAGCACACAACAACATGACTGCAGGTGATTTATTGACTAAATGTCTAGCACAATTTCTTTATAAATGATTTGCATCTTCTGACATAGAAAACTCTCTATAATAAGCACAAGAATACAGCAGTTTATCTTTCTGAACGACACACAATAGTTAAAGGCTGCAAAGCTATAAAAAAGGCACTTGATAGTTGATATGTAACACGTTGTCAATATAAAAAAGTACAAAAATTGAGCTGTTGGCTCATATATAGCTTTCTAAGAGCAGGATATTGGAGTGTTGCATTTCTTCCGATTATAGTGCAGGAGATCGCGATAAGGGAATGTTCCGGGCAGCATCTTTTTTTGTGTGTCTCTGAACCATTGTTTGGAAACGCCATAAGATTATGCATACACTGGTGATATCCATAATCAGGATTGCTCAAAAAAAAAAAAAAGGCTTTCCATGCCCTCACCTTTGGCACTTGCACCTTGCAAAAAACCACCAAAATGGCCACAGAGCGTTAAATAACAGCAAGCAAATACGAACAAAGGCTCTAAGTGACTATTGCCGGATCCATTTGCACCAACGTGGAGTGTTTTTATGGTATCACAGGCCTTTCCATAATTAGAACTACCTATCTGATTAGAACAGATGAATGTGACATATTTAGTATTTAAGCCATGTAGAGACCATTAGTTGAGTCAGGATGAAACGCATGCAATCAGTGCTAATGTATTTCAGTGTAGCTGCCAGGGGTGTTTTATTCCTATGTGGTTTACCATTACCTTAAGTACCCTGGCACAGCAAATCAGGCAGAGCAAAAAAAGTAGGCTGCACTGCATCTAGAGGATTGAGGGGCCACTTTAAGATCCTGTCTGACTAGATCACATGCTCAATGCTTTAGCCTACTAAATGGATTGTATGGATCAGAGTACAACTAGATTGCTTCACTCATTACATGGGAAATGCTTTGTCCTTATTTGTGACAAGAGAGGATAGAATTTTGACTGATAAATACACACCCAAATGCAGACAAGATGAACGAATCTCACAAAAAAAGTGTCACATTTTACAATATATATATATATATTAATTTTACTGTATTAAAATCAGCATTAAGGCAGTTAAAACAAATACTATTATGTAGAATTTTTTTTAATCTATTTTTGAATTACAGCGTCATTTGGAGGGAAAACGTACTCAACTGTCATGGAAATAAAGTCACAAAAATTCATACAAATGGCTTAATTTTCTTTATGCAATATAAAATGGGGTCAAATGTGAACATAACATGTTTTGTGAGATTCACTCAGATGCCAAATTGACGGATACTGAAACAAACTACTGTATATCAAAAAGTGACAGTACGCTCTTATACTGCTCACTTTACTATTTTCTTTGGATTGACAAGGTGTCATGAATACTGTAGGTGTACTTGTGGAGGTGGAGTGGGATGAGGAGGGACAGCTAAAATACTGCATCCAAATACCTTGCTATCTGTTCCGACATCTGGCATTGGTGGTTCTAACAGTTCACAAGCTGTTTCCAGTTGAATGACTGGCATCGTAACATAGCAAAACTGAGGGCAGTCTGTCGGCTTACTGAAGCAAGCTCCCAAAAATTCAGGTCCGTGCTTTGCTGAATGACACATACTTAGTAAATGCTGATATAGCTGTTTACTATAACAGCCGGTGAAAAAGAGCGGAGCTACTATATCCATCACTCTGTCAGTCAGCGTATGTTACAGGCTTCAAGTAAAGTACTTGGTCTTGTTTGGCATAGCTATAGACCCCCCCAGTCTCTGTTCCGGCCCCTCCTTGGCAAACAGCAGAGCCTCACACCGGAGAGAAAGCATGACTTTTACATAATGGCTTGTCCTTCTTTGAAAAGAACGTCTTCCCCTCCAGATTAATTTGACAGATCTGAGGAGATAAAACAGGAGGATTTAGCAGTAGAAATCAAACTCTTATTCAATCATGGAGCTACTGCAAAGGGGCTGTTCAACAGAGCTATTCTACAGCTGTGATTCTTCTACTTGCTAAATGAAATAACACTAGGGGGAGAAACATTTTAGATAGCATTTAATTGGATAAAACTTTGGGGTGCAGGATGAGTCATTATTTCTGGTCCATTTTTTTTTTTTTGGTATCTTTGGAAAAAAATATCTCTAAATGAATAAACGTGGGGGTCTTTAACCTGATTAAGCTCATAATCCATTTGGGGTCTGTTTTTTGTTTTGAATGAATGAATGAATGAATGAAATGAAACAAATCCTTTTATTCAGCAAGGACACACTAAATTAAGTGACACTAAAGACATTTATAATGGGTTTTTTTTTTAAATATGTAATATATTAATATAAAATATTATATATATATTTATATAATATAAGTGTTATTTCCATTTTGAATAAATGCTGTTCTTTTGAAATTTCTATTCATTAAACAAAAAAGGTATCACGGTATTTTTACACAAAAATAGTGTATAGAGTAATGGCTGCTGAAAAACGCTCAACTCATAAATTACATTTTAAATCAATTAAAATAAAAAAAAATATTTTAAACTGTAACAATATTCAACAATATTACTGTTTTTACTGTACTTTTGATCAAATACATGAAGCCTAAGTCAGCATTAGAGACTTTCAAAAACATTAAAAAAAAAAAAAAATCCTACCAAATCAAACCTTTGAATGGCAGTGAATTCCTGTATTAATCTGTCATGTGAACGTGTTTTATAGGGTATATCCACTGTTAATTTCAATGCATGTCAAAATTTTATTAATTGCCATCTGTCCCAGACTGCCAAGCTTTTTATTTATTAAGATTAAAGAGGTGATGTTAAATCAGTAGACAGATGAGTGAAAGCACCACAAAATTTTGCTATTTATTGGGTTCTTGTGTCCCACTATGAATGGCATGAATTAAAATCAATGAACCGCTTAAATTCCTAAAAAATTTAATAAATGGCAAGAGCATATCCAGCATTTCCATAACAGAAAATAAAAACGGATGTCTTAGTTTATCTGGAATTTGAACAAGAAAGAAGAATATTCTGAAAAGTTCATTAATAAAGTGCATGCAAACATGGCCAATGTATGACTTTTGAAGGGAAATGTCTAGGTTCTCAGGGGCTAGGGGACTATTTCTTGATAGTGTTGTGTGGTGCAGAAAGTTTAAGATGGAGTTTCGGGACAGGTCCCAATGCATCAAAATGACTTACGGCACAGACAAAGCAAGTGTCATGCCAGCTGTAGCCCAGCGCCTCAAGGAAACGGTCTCCTGCATCAATCTTGAAGTCACAGCCATGGCATTTGGTACCAAACATCTTTTCATAGTCTGCAGAGAAAAACAAACCAACCAAAAGGGCCTATTAAGAGCGCGAGGAGAAAATGCTTGGTCAGAAACGAAGAGAACGAGACAAGATAGAAAGAAATGTGTTACTGAAAGGAAAAAGAAAGGGGATTACATTTTCTCAGCCCTCACATGCTCGGTGTGTGATAACAGACACTGGTCCAGATTCCTACATGGATTGCCCTAGTTTTACCCATTACGGAAAACTTAAAAGTGGCCGGCTTTACGTCCCGTACGCAAGGTAAGTAGTTTAGAGCACAATCAGTAATGGTAAGGTGCTGAGACTGCAGTTATTTTATCAACGCAAGCTCTTTTTTTTTTCTAACAGAAACAGCTGTCCACTTGCTGCTGACACAAGACCAAAACTCTTCAAAGCTGTAAAGCAGCAGAACTGCAATGCAAGTCTATTTACATAAAGACATGCACTCCCTTCAGATAGCTTAATGTCTGTTTATGTAAGATTAGGAGCCCAACAAATGTGACAATGTGATTAACTGAACTACATAAATATAAATTAAACATGGAAGGTGGCTGAATTTAGCAACTTTCTACCGTTCAGGAAACTAAATGAATGAACAAGCACAGCTTAACATGGCAAATCGCACTACTGAATTCAAATTGATTTATGCCATGGTTCTCATGCGGGGCTGTAGGCTCGAATCCGATCCGTAACGTTTCCGAGCCCCTTCTCCCACCGAATTCCTATCCGACTAATTGTTCCAATAAAAGCATCAAAAAGATTCAAAATAGAAGAAAAGCTGTCAGAGGCCTGGCCTAGTGGATAGCACACAAACTCTGATACTTAGAGCTGTGGAGCTCATGTTTGCAAAACAGGTTTGAATCTAATGTTTCCCATTCCTCTTCCCAATAATTTCCTGTCATAATTCTCAAAAAAATTTATATTTATATATATATATATATATATATATATATATATATATATATATATGTATATGCATGCATGTATGTGTATAAATATAAATAAATAAAATAAAACATAAAATACTTTTCACTAGTCCTGTAACTGAAAGTGGCAATAAATAAATACATACATAATTATATAAAATTGTAAATTAAAAACAATAACAAAAAATAACAATAAATTGATAGCAAAACAGGTTTGAATCCAATGTTTCCCACTCCTCCTACCTCACAATTTCCTTTCATAGTTCTCACTAGTCCTATAAATAAAAACAAAAAAACAAATGAAATAAAATAAAATAAAGTGCATGTTCAAAGCAGGCTTGCAATGTTACCGGTGCCTTATTATCATTCAATCATTGTCTCTCTTATCATTCATAAGTGTCAAATAGGTTTTTAAATAGGACTTCAAGCTGGGGTGCTCATATAGTCAACATGAGTTTGAATCAGTCTTGTGATTTGAATCTTATTTGAACAAACAAAAAAGGCAAAAAAAAACCCAGTATTAATGATTTCATTGAGCACCAACGCACTTTCTACTAATGGTGTATTTAAAGTAGATTTTCAAGCATAAACGTTCTCAGCAAAGCTCCTAATCAATGTGCAGGGCTGGTATGGAGCAGGTTTGATGTCTGAAGTGAAGTGGCAGCATTTGAATGATTAAACACCGCAGGAGCCCGCGCTCGGCTCTCGGCAGGGGCTGTCGATAGGATGTGCAGCCGGGCGTGCACGGTCACTCACCTCTCTCACAGTAGGGCTCTCCCTCCTCCATGTAGAAGGCCTGGTTCCTGATGGGCATTTTGCAGGCAGCACACAGGAAGCATTGTACGTGGTAGGTCATCTTCAGGGCGTGCATGATTTCCTGCAGAGAGGACAGAGGGGTGTGAGGGAGCCGTGCATGTCAACTATAAATTCTCACAATGAAAATCCCTCACACACACTTTAACCTACTGGAACTACTCTTCCTTACCAGCTTCATACAATCAGAATCAACAGCTTTTGTTTGTTTTTGAGGTCATTTTGACATACTGTCCATAACATTACCTTACCGTGTATTTTGTTTCTCAATTTTTGTGTTGTATTTAATGCATTATATTGATTAAATCCTGGTAATGCTTAATAATAATTTCTGTAAAGACATTAATAAATATCAAATAATACTAACAAATTAGTGAATATGAAGATTTAGAACAATATATTAATTTAACATATGGCCCTTATGCTGCATTTTTTTATTAAATAGTATAATTGTATAGTATTATAAAATTTTATTATTACAATTTTATAATATATATATATATTTTTTTTAATTCTTTAAAAAAAATAATAATAAATTCTACTGACCCCAAACTTTGGAATGATAGTGTATTAATAAAATTATACTAGTATCATTAATGATTTAACAAACTAGTCCACCACTCAGTTTGAATCGTTCAGTGCAGATACCACTGTAGATCAGGAAAATTCAAAAAAACTGCATTGTGTGTTTATGTTGCAGAACAGTAGGAAATGTCGTTACCCCAGTTATCTTCTTCTTGCATTTGGCACAGTTGGGTGAGTAACGGTTGTCGTAGCACTTGGTGCAGTAAATGGATCCTTTTTCCTCAAAGAAGCCCCCCTCGTCCAACACCCTTTTGCACTGACAGCACGTGAACTCCTCTGGGTGCCAGGAACGACCAAGCGCCACTACGTAGCGTCCCCTAGAACACAGACACACAAACACAGTCTTACAACAAAAGCTTTTGCATTGAAGTGAAAGGGTCAGCTCGGGCATCAGCAGCTGGGTTTAGCACTCTTAAGTGTTCAGTGTGCAAAAGCCATTCTAATGGAAAAAGTAGGTCAGACGCAGAAGCCCACTCCATTCCGTATTGATTCTCCACGGCAGAAAGCCCAAGGACATGGCGCTATTTCTGAGCTCTGTGTATTTTAAGAAATATTGCTGCCTGACAAAGTTTGACAACATTTTTTCCCTCCCCATGTTTTCTCTGAGTTTTGTAAGTAATGACATTTAGCGCATAGTCATCATCGATTTGGAGGTATTTTGGGCTGTCTGCAGTGGTTAGCTTTGGGATTTCAAAGGAATAGTTCACCCAAAAATGACTGAAACTATGTGCTAAAAATGTACTCACCCACAGGTGATCTAGATGAGTTTGTTTCCTCATTGGAACAGATTTGGAGAAATTTAGTATTACATCACTTGCTCATCAATGGATCCTCTGCAGTGAATGGGTGCCGTCAGAATGAGAGTCCAAACAGCTGATAAAAACATCACAATAATCCTCAAGTAACCCACACGATTCCAGTCCATCAATCATGTCTTTTAAAGTGAAAAGCTGCGTGTTTGTTATAAACAAATCATTGAAACATTTTTAACTTCATTTTTAATTTCAAACTGTTGCTTCCGGCTAAAATACAAGTGAGGCCATCCCCTTCCTCTCACATCAAAATCCACTGTCATATTTGTTTAGAACTGTTTTGAAACAGTTTAGGTCTGTACATATTTCTCTCCTTATTTTTCACTGGAGAAAGCAATATGATGGACAGAAGACTCGTATTTTAGCCGGAAGCAACGGTTTGGAGTTTAAAAAGTACGAAAAAGTATGTTTCTTAAAAATATGCAGCTTTTTTACTTCACAAGATGTTAACTGCTGGACTGGGGTTGTGTGGATTACTTGATTTGCGATGTTTTCATCAGCTGTTTGGACTCTCATTCTGACGGCACCCATTGCACACTGCAGAGGATCCATTGGTGAGTAAATTATGTAATGTTAAGAAACAAACTTAGCTATATCTTATATGGACTGAGAGTGAGCAAATTGTCAGCAAATGTTCATTTCTGGTTGAACTATTCCTGTAACTGCAAATTTTCAGTCAGTTCTGAAGTTTGACTCCAGAGGCGGTAGAGTTCCAGCCGTACCTAATGATCTTGTTACATGCGGCGCAGAGCGGGGTGCAGCCGCTGGAGTCACCAGGGTTCTGCTGCGCTGCCTGCATGATGGAGCTGCGGTTCTGCATGGGAGTGGGTTGGACTGGCTTCTTGTGCTGCGTCACCACTGTGCTGGTCTTGTCTGGGTGGTAACGGTCTGCAAAACTGGGATCCGTAACCCATGGCGGCCGGCAGGTTGGACCGGAATCAGCTGGTGCTTTAGCCTGCGCTAAAAAAAACAAAAAACAAAACAAAAAGGACAATAAAACTCTACACATATCTTTTTTCAGCTCTTCCTCACTATGAGTCAACAGAGACCTGTTACAAGTGTGTACATTTATGGGCTGCTATTAAAACGTAGTCTAAATTGGCTTGCTTTTATCCAGGGACCAACCTATAACACAAAGACATCTAATCGAGATGCTGCTAACACCATGAGAGGAGAGCATTAGCATCATGGTTTAATTCAGCTTATATAAAGCACATCTCAAGAGAGTGATAATTGACTCATATTATCATCTTTGACTATAAACACATCAGTGTCACTTATGTCTTACTTTTCCCATTAACAGCAGGCCTGTCTGGGCCAGCCAGGCCGCTCCGTGAACAAGTCTGTTTTATGGGAGTTAAGTTCTCCCCGTGGGAGCGAATCTGGGCTGTGAGTCAGTGTGTACTGTGACTGTGAGAGTCAATCTATTCTGTCTGTTCTGAGAGTACTTACCTTGAACTTCATCAGGTTTGTCTGCTGGCTTGGACTCGGCAGGACAGGGTGTTACTCCATGACTGTAGAAAGAAAATTTCCTTTCAGTACGCATGGCTTGATAAAACAGCTTTAGCCAGAGCCAATGAAAATGTTTTTAAGCTACACAACACAACCTCTGACATCTACATCCTGGATAGAAAGTACACTCCTGAACAAAGCGATGAGATTAAAACTACTTCACGGGATGTCACTATAAGCAAATTAAAATAAAGAATGGGTGTTTTTTGCTTCAGTTGTAAATAAAAACATTTTACATTTAATGGATTTACTGAATTTTCACTGAATATTTTTTATTTATTACAGATTGGCATAACAATAACAACAACAAAAAAAGTATGTTCTTTCAAAAAAAAAATCCTCATGGCGTTTTAAGATTTTATTCATTTACATGACTTTTCCAAAGGCTAGAAACCACTTCTAAAATAAGGCTACCGAATTATCCGGGTTTTCAAAAAAAAAAAACTTAAGAATTATATTTTAAAAATATATTTTTAGTTGTTTTAGCTTCTTTTAATGCTTTTTTGTCTTATTTTAAATAATTTTATGTGATCTTGGGACCCCCGTTGGAAGTCAAATTTTAGATTTAGACTTGTGTGGTTTTAACTTACATATTGCTCTTAAAAAAGGCAGCTGTAGCATTTATGAGCTTTTCGTCGTACATCATCTGAATGAAATGAATAAGCATAACCAGATCCTGTACTTCCTCATAACTACATGATCACACAAGAATAACACAGTCGTGAGCTTTCCAGATGCGTGTTCATGATTATCTGTGCATGCTCTTCCTCATGTTTGATGGCTTCCCAGAAGAATTAATGTCCTGAAGTTCCCTGGGCATAAACATATCATTCACATATACAGAGTAAGTCAAACAAGTCTGTCTTGTGTTTTCATCGCCAAATACTGCTTTAAATGATACCAGCTGGGCAAAGCAAGATATAGAATGATTACATCTCTTGCAGGAAATTTGTACAGAATTAGAATCCACGCATACTGATTCCAAACGATGTCTAATTAATCTCTTATTTGCATAAATCCCAGTCTGAAAAACATTTTAGTTCTCTTCCAAATCCTAGTGAGCTGCCCACCTAGGCAATATTTTTAGGCACCATAGCCACAACCACAACAGCATGCCTGTTCCAAACAGTAGGCAGCAAAATTACACTCGTTTCTCACCTTGTTTTGGATGAAATCTAAGCTAAAATTGCCAATCCCAGAATGCACAGCACTGAATTTTATCTAGAAGCTGCAGAATTGGATCAAAATATCGATTTAAAAAATGCAGTATTTTACGTACTACTTGTGCTAAGCAATGCTTAGAATATAGAGCTTAGCTAGCAAGATCTAAATCCACAATTTATCTGCTGATTAAAAAGCTATTTAATCCAGGCTAAATTGGCCTGGAGTGAATTAAATAACAATTAAAAAAGGTTTTTACCATCATTTCTCCAAAGAACTAGGAAACAGCAGCGCACAAAATGCTAAAAATGTTGAAATGAAGAAAAGAGAACAAGCAAATCTTTCAGAAAATAAAGGAGGACAGCAGAGAGTATTGCAATGTTTTATGTACTCGGAGATATGAGTCAACAGATTATTTTATCTTATTGGGGACAGAACCAGAGGAAGAGCAATCAGATGACATCATAATAGTGCATTATGTTAAATTACAGTGAGGGGGAAAAAAAGAAAGAAAAAAAAAAAAAGAGAGTATGAAATATGAAAGTTGAGAAAAATCACGAGGGGGCTACACAACACAAACAGAAAAAAGGAGCAATAGTAACAGTCCTGTGATGGATAACTCCTCTGAACAAGCACAAAAATAACAACAACAATAAAATAACATGATTATCAGTTTGTAGAAACGATACCACTTGAAAGAGACTGTCACACCAACAGCATTCAGATATTCCTAACGGGAACTTGCCTGTAGGGCTCAGTTTGCGTGGTTTTTCCGACTATGCCTGCATTTCTTCGCACATTTGTTTTTGCTATTTTTAACTTGTATTTTTACATTTTAACTTGACAACCCCCCCCCCCCCCCAATCCCCAATTTATTTTGTCCTGGTATAGCTGGGGTCAGTGTTCACCCATAGCTGGCACACGGTGTTGCAGTGGTGCATTTGTATCTAGTGCGGCTGCATCTCAGCCCCCTCGGCCATCTGATAGCAGGGAGGCAGTGCATTCAGGACTTGATGTTGAGGGCACGGGCGGATCTCTCGTGATGCCAGTCTCTCAGCCTGGCATAGCGGGGACTCTGAATCTCAGTGAGGAACTTTTCCCTGCCATTCAGTGCACGGCAGAGTACAGCAAATTAGGAGAGCGGTGAGAACAAAACAGAAGAGAGAAAACAATATCAGCACATACAGAAAGACAAAAGCAAATGAGGTTGAGAGAACTGCAAAACAGAAAGGAAAGAAGAAAGAATAAAAGATGCAACATATGCAAGTAGTGATGAATTCAGAAAAAAATCAGTGCATCTGTAGATAACCAGGCCCAGACAGAATCTGCAGACTTTTCCCCCCACGTTTTCTGTTTTGATTTTAATGGAAAACCTGCTAAATGGAATTGGAGCTGAGAGTACTACATGCTTACTGGCAGCACAATCTAACGAGCCAAACGTTTTAAGGGCATTTGCACACAAGAGAGAGAGAGCGTTTTGATGGAAAGCAATGCACAAGATGCTTTTTTAAGGGTGTGGAAAGAAATTTGGTTTGAAATCAAGTAGGAATATAGGAAAGTGCATCTCCGACAACTGGGCTGAGTCCAAATTCTTATACTTTCATAGATGTGCTGAATGTTTTAGGTATTAAGGCTGTGAAATTCAAATTTAAACTTCAAACATTCACTGTGCTTAAAACAAAAATAGGCATTTGAAGGCAAAATATTTATTTTATAACACTTATTCACTGCCAATCAAACGTTTGGGGCTGGATTTTTTTATTTTTTAAGTCTCTTATGCTCACCAAGGCTGCATTTATTTGATCAAAAACACAGTAAAAACAGTAATATTGTTAAAGGGGTCATATGATGCTGCTAAAAAGAACAGTATTTTGTGTATTTGGTGTAATGAAATGTGTTTATGCAGTTTAAAGTAAAAAAAAACACATTATTTTCCACATACTGTACATTACTGTTTCTCCTCTATGCCCCTCCTCTATTTTATTACAATTAAAAAAGCTGTTTTCTATTTTAATACATTTTAAAATGTAATTTATTCCTGTAACCTTTATTATTATCAGTGTTGTATTGCTTAATATTTTGGAAACATCTATTTGTTTGTTGTTTTGTTTAGGATTCTTCAAAAGAACAGCTTTTGGCGAGACACTGCAGGTGAATAGGGTAAAAAAAATAACTACTAATTATCACCATACCCAGTTGACTGATTACATTGATAATTGCAAAAAATGTTTGTATTACAAGTTTTGTAAAATGTTATGTTTAAATATGCAAATGAGGCATTATTTAATGAAATATGCGCCAATTTGCATATATTTCTAGTACAAAAATCTGAACACTGGATGAATTCAGTTTCAAAATTCTTGTTTATTTATTTTTTTTTTACATATTAGAGGCAAATGTTTTTACAGAGGGAATTTTGGGTATCTCTTTTTGTCACTCCATAATTCAGAAAATACTTTGAACAGCCAGAAAACAATATATTTTCACAAATGTTGTATATAATCAAGCAAATGATATATGAACAAATCCCTCTGTAAAAACCTTCAGAATATAGACAGCAATAAAAATTTGGTGTGTGTAAGTGCTACTGAAGTGGAGATTTACGGCTCAGTGCAGGAGAAAACACTAATTTTGAGAAAACTGCCTTTAAAAATATGTATTGTATTTGAAATCTATTGACACAAATCGATAAAGTGCTATAAAAGAAACGCTTACCAGTGTCTTTTGGATGCTTTCTTTCCACTAGTCTGAAAAAGCACTTTATGAAAAGCCAAAAATCTCAAAATTGACAGGTGCATGAAAAAAAACGTGCTTTTGCCTAGAGTGTCTCCCCTTAAAACAGAAATGTTATATAATATTATAAATGACTTTACTGTCACTTTCGATCAATTTAAGGCATCCTTCCTGAATCAAAGTATTCATTTCCTTTTAAAAAATCTTACTGACTCCACACTTTTAAAAAGTAGGTGTACTTAAAAGACTATTTAAATCTAACAACTCCTCTGCTCTTGTGGGCTTATGGGATAGCAAATTTTCTCTTGCATTATGGAACTCCATAAACCCTTGCATTTGTCCTATAAATGAGGCATCATTCCCATCAAAAATCAATGAATTTGAATTGGTATCTGACACAAACTTTCATTAAACTGTATTTTATACATAACAGGCATTCATATTCTGCAGAAATCTGAGGGCATGATTCTGTGAAGGTCTGATTATAAGGCACACAGCAATCAGTGTATGAAGTTATACTGCAAATGCACAGATCAGACAACAGCTCATAATGCCGATCAAAGCATATTTTCAGCATCTCTCCGCAGAGAGCTGAACACCGTGATCTCCTAATGAGGGTGGTAAAAGGTCAGAGCCAGCGATTTAATGCTTCAAACCGCACTTCATTAGCAAGTTCACACAGCTCTTTACCTGGACCTTTTCAAGTTCTCATCATCCGGGTCCTGCACTGAGGGAAGCAGGAGAGACACAGATCAGACCAACCATCAGACACACAAACACAACATAAAATCCACTTCCAATATCTGAACAACACTACAAAACACTTGAGGACTGCTGCTTTTAAAGAGACTACCCATCACCTTTTAACATGAGAGTCAATCCCATGAGATGTACAGGTACGGTATGGCAACAATGGTTGACTGCACACCTCTTTCCTACCACTTACTCGAGAGCAAATCAAAGCCACTCAGGCTCTAGACGGCATAAAGGAGAAAATCTCAGCCATAACCCTTTAAGCTATACATAGACAACATTTCCCACTTCTTTATGATCTCACTCTCAATATCAGATCAGCGGTTGGTCCTCTAGGACATGCTTTCATGCCCTC